TCATCGTTGAACAATCAATTGAGTGGAACTCGTCACTACACATCAACTTCATTGATATAAGAAGGCATTTGACAGCGTGGATAGGGGGACCTTATGGCAACTTTTCTGACACTATGGAGTACCTGAGAAGATCGTCAAGATCATCCGGAATTCACACGACGGACTACACTGCAAAGTTGTTCATGGAAGACAGCTGACAGATGCACTCCAAGTAAGAACCGGAGTCAGATAGAGCTTCCCTACTCAACACTTCCTCTTCTGGTGGTCGACTGGATTATGAAGACCTCAAATTTTGAGGGAAAGCACAGAATACAATGGACATCTTGGAATCAATTAGAAGATTTGGACTTCGCAGATGACCTGGCCCTTCTATCTCATACACACGAACAAATGCAAATGAAGACAACTAGCGTAGCAGCAGCATCTGCATCAGTGGGCCTCAACATACAAAAAAGGAGCAAAATTTTCAAATACAACACGGAGAACAACCCAATCACACTTGATGGAGAAGCTCTAGAAGATGTGAAATCTTTCGCGTACCTGGGAAGCACCATCGATGAATAAGGAGGATAGGATACAGACGTAAACGCAAATATTGGCAATGAAAGTACCGCATTCCTACAATTGAGAAAATATATGGAGCTCAAAACAACTGTCAACCAATATCAAAGTCAGGATCTTCAATACGAACGTCCAGACAGTCCCATTGTACGGAGGTGCAACTTAGAGAACCATCATCAAGAAGGTACAAGTATTTATAAATCGTTGTCTACGCAAGATACTCAATATCCGCTGGCCGGATACCATTAGGAACAAGGTACTGTGGGAGAGAACAACCCAGCACTCATCTGAAATCAGGAAAAGACGTTAGAAGTGGATAGGACATATATTACGGAAATCATCATCACGAGGCATGCGCTAACTTGGAATCCTGAAGGGAAACGGAAAAGAGGAAGACCGAAGAACACAGTGAGTCGGGAATTGGAAGCAGGTATGGAAGGGCCTGACCAGGACAGGTTTGGATAGAGAATACTGGTGGGAGGCCTATGCTCTTCGACAAGGAGTAACAGACGTAAGTAAATACTATTGACTGGAATAAAACTATCCACTAGAATATTCAATAAGGTGGATAACGTTGTTTTGATTGGAGCTATGAGAGTAGAGTTTATTCTTTAGTAAATCCACCAATGCACTTAGTATCAAATCCTTAATCGAGATGAACCCTGCCTTTCAACTTTACTGTTGGAGAAAACTGAATGGGATTTTATATTTTACATTCGTTGTGTATAACTGGACAAGGATATAAGGCAAATAAAAAGAAACAAATTTTGTTTGAAAATGAAAAATTAGTATTTGGCTTAAAACGTTTCATTTTTACGAAAAGTTGCACAAAATTTGAAGTCGATTTCTTATCAGTTACTAAAGATCAGACTGGATCCAAACGAGATGATTACGCTTTCTAAAACGTAAAATGTTTAGTCTTTCTAGTATTATTAATCCAACTGATGTATGAACCTATCCAGTTATAAAGTTGTCAAATAACCCAGTTTATTGAATTAAGGTAAGTTTGTATTATCGAACCTCATTCATTTTCCAAGTGAATAATTAACAGATCCTTCGAATCCATATTAGTTTATTTAATAATATATTTCTCAATTATAGTGACCTGGAGAAGTAAAACTCTTCAAAATTCTGCGTATACATAAAATGTATCGTTGAGTCCGTCTAAAAGAATAGTGTGGTCCAATGTCAAAAAATTGTTAAGAAAATAACGCACAAGAATTACAATACTACATTAAACAAATTCTAATCGCCAATGGTAAACGATAATAATCTTACAATATCGTAAATTAATTGAAGTTACGAATGTGAACTATTGCATGTCAACCCAGTGGTTAGAAGTTATGCTTTCCTCGCTCTATGTTCAATCCTTGGAGATGTAATGAATGCGACTACCTAACAGTTTTATATTAGCTTGAACAGTTGTTCTGTGCTTAGTGGTTTTCAATGGTTGTAAAACCAAATTCATAAAAATTTGAATTAAAATCATAATGACGAACACCTTGATATGCCATTTCTTGATCTTATTTAGTTGTGATTTTATCAATGGTGTGAAATAAATCTACCACCGTTTTTCCACTGTACGACAACTAACTGTTAAATGTCATAAGTTTTATAGTATGAGTTTTGATCGAATAATATCTCGAAAAGTATCACAAAAGGTACTACAGTTTACAGACATGATCGAGTTGATAAAATGAGGGACGTAATATGTAGAATAGATATAAATACAAATTATTCAAAGATGTGTTTCATAAATTGCTTCGATAAAAAGTTGATCACGGAGATCTTAATAATGTCAAACAGTAGTTGGGAGCAAGTATTTTCTTAGCAGGAGTACTGGTGTGGTGCGCGATACTTATATTGCTGTAAGTAGTATATGACGCGAGTTAAAAACGTAATGTCTGGCAGCAGAAGATGGGGGAAGATCAAGAAAGGAAGAGCGGGAACACAATGCAATCTGTATGAAAACGAATGAACAATGAAATGTCAGACAATGGATTGATGTTTGCAGCAGGAACAGTCCAGTTTGATATGATGGATTGATATTTTGCAAATTAACGACTTACTATATGGTTTTTCTATTTTACCAATTAACTCTGTAATTTTAAGCTAGTTACAATCCGATTGTCCTCACCTGTGTTCTCCTTCACTACACTGGGATGATATGCTGAATTACTATGACGGTGGTAAAAGGTCGTTACAGGGTTCTTACAGGTATCTTAGAGTATAGAAAATAAAGAAAACTGTAAACACTAGAAAACTACTGTGATAGATCTACTGTCATATATATGCTTTATCACTTTGTGAGGTTATTGAAGACATTTTATTTAAACCAAACAACTATTGAATAAGAAAAATGAATGCAACATCGAGAGCAAAGATAGCGTAAAGTTAAAAACATTAACACAAATAGATTTCCAGTAAATTATGAATGTATTCAAAAATTAAATGTCCCTGTTATTTTACCATGAATACGGTCTATGTAAAAAGGTAGTGCCCGGAGAGTTAATCATTAATGCAGAGTAGAAACGAGAGGATTGGTTATGTTCCACGAACAGATATGGCAAAATATACCGGGGTCAGGAAAGTTAACTCATATAAAGGGAGATTTAAAATATGAGTTCACTTTGTGACCTTGAAACATACATCTTTCATACCCGTAATCATAATGCATTTACTAGTGACTAGCTTCAATATATAATTTTCAAGGCTCTAGTGTGAAGCCGTGAATGGTGGAGTTTCGGCTGCATCGAGTGTGAGGAAAGTACCAATTGAAGATAAAACAAGGTAGTGTGTAATATCGCAGACTGCTAGGAGCTAAACATGTACACCATTGGGTTGGCGGTTTAGAGGTTAGGTATTCGTGCGGGAGAGCGAAGATCCTGAATTTAGTACCAGGTGGTAAGGTCTTGGATACTACTGCTAAAGAGTTCTGTACTAGGACGAAACAACTGTCCAGTGCTACCAGGTTTCCAATGGTTACCCAAGTTAGATCGATCCGTGATGTCAAAAGAATTCAAGTTTTCACAACCAAAAAAATGATTACGAAAAATGTTAGAAATCGTGTTATCCGGGATGGTCTACTTGTTTTAAGCGCGTATGTTTATGGATTTGTTTGTCAACTGTATGGAATTTTATAGTTGGATGAACTTTACAGACGATTCGGGACTGCTTTTTATCGGTGATTCTGTTAATAACAAACTATAGACACCACGTAATGACTCAGTGTAAGTGTTCTACAAGATCGGACCATTTCTGTTAATGTAAAATAGGTATTTCTTTTCAACTTGGCCTACAGAATAAGAGGAATTATAATAGTCATCAATGTACATAAAACCATACTTCTAAACTTTTCCTATAAACCCAATCCCAATGATATGCTTGATAAACATGCCTTGGTCATAAAAATTATATTCCATTTGACTACTATGTTAAAATCAGTCAATTCGAAAAATCTACGTACATTTTACTTCACATATATGTAAAAATCATTCTTTCGGTTTCAAAAAACAGACTGAAAGTTTCTTTTAAATGAACAAACATCCATTGAAAATTTAATATCAATCATATTTGGAAAAAATTAAGAAATAAAGCATAAATAGTCTAAAACATAAAGAACACTGAGCACATATAAGTTAAAGGTCAATAAACGAATGAATAAATAAGTATGCATCATTTATGAATATAACAGAGCGCCATGTGTTAATGTAATACACAAGGACAAAAGGTTTTGTTCCTTGTTTAAGAAGAAACACAACCACAACTGACATAAAAAAGCATGCAAGGTTAACAAAGTTAAGCATTATTACGAACAAGACGATAATACAATAACAACTTTAATAGGAATAAAATAAAATATCATATTACTGACTGGACTGTGAATTAGTTTTTCTGCTTCTTCTTCAGTCACAGAGATTTATGTGTAATATGTAATAAGAAAGACAGTGACAAAGAGATTCTTTTTTTTAATGATTATTAAAGACAGTAGTTTATTCTTACATACCATAAAACAGTAGTGGATAGGATGAATTAAAGTAATGTGGTATAAGACAACGAGGAAAGAATAAATGAAATACATACATACACAAACAAAAACTTATGGAGAAAATATGTCACATGATTACAGACAAACACATAATTATTTGGATAAACAGAAAGATATATGTCTTGGGAAGCGTCTTAAAAACACTTAACGCCTAGCAAAAGTAAATAGGTATTCCGTACAGAGAGACAAAGAGTACGAAAGAGAACATTAGGATAATCAAGTCAACAATACGACATATATATATACACCACATAAGATACGAGAATAATGAGTGCAGAGTGAAATAACTCAATTTTCATTACTGATTGCTAATAAGCAATTAAAATGAAAAATATAATGGGAGTTCCACGAAAATTATGTAATAATGTATGTTAGTAGTAGTAGAGACAAACTAACGATCTCCAATTAAATTCTATACAAATACAGGATACATATGATTAAAGAAAATTATTAATATTACAAAAATGAAAATACATAAACATACCGTACGTATAACTGATAAATTACACTTGGCCTTTCGAAATGGTAAAAAATTACGATGGCGAAATAATGATGTAATTAAAATGCCGATGAAAATACCAATGAACAAATCTTTATCACTCCATAAATTAATAGGTCTATAATAGTCGTTATTTTTATGCTGATAAATGTCATGATTATTATTATTCGGTTCCATTCGTTTCATGATATTTTTAATATTTTTATGTTCATCTAATATAATTTCATTAATATTCCATGTTGTCATCTGTTTAGTAGTATCACAATATCCTGGACCAAGAAGAACACCAGCTGGTATACCACGACTGAGAAAAAGAGAGAAGAAAGAGAATGGTAATCGTTATTAATTATCATTAATAATCAAATTATCGTTGTTAGTATTATTACTCACGATGTTATTAATTAAACAAAAAAAGTTCTCAGTTTGAATTATATTTTAATTACCTAATGTTACACATTTAACAATTATTACATTTCGAGTTAAACAATAACCAACTAGAATTGTTGCAAATGTTTATTACAGCCTATTTTAAATGCGCAATAGAAATGCGTAACAAAAACTACTATATATATAATTCACTTGATACTGTTTTATTTGAATCTTCCCATTGATGTTTAGGACTGAAATTGTTCAGTCTCTTATTGGCATATGTGCGTACTGTGCGTATGCCTCGATATTGCCTTAATTTACAAGCATTATAAGCAAAGATGGATAGTGGCTAGCAGTGGAATCCAGGACGCGCGTTTCGTCCTATTTGGGACTCGTCAGCTGGGTTTACCTGCATCTCAGAGTTGATGTTCACTCTGGGACTCGAACCCAGTACCGTCCGCTTCAAACGCCATCGCGTTATCCACTTAGCTACTGAGTCCTGATAGCCACCTGCTTGTGCAATTCACTTGAAAGTGAATTAAACTTCACCACCATGTGCTTCGGGCTGGGGACTCGGGTAGTAACACAGCCCTCACACAGATCATTGATAACTACTACTGACCTCATTATTATTATGTATGTAAAATAGTTAAACGGAAATAAAAATTTGATGAAGATAATCTTGACAGGAAAATGTGATTATATTTACTTTTAAATTATAGGCATCTGATGATTAATATTTCCGAATCACTAGTTAAATATACAGTTGGACTAACCAATTTCGTTAACCCGTAGAGGATTTTTTTCTTTAACATATAAAAATAGTTCATTTATTGGTAATTATGTGACAATCGAATGTATTTGTTGGATAAATTGTTTACTATAAAGTCAAAACAGTAATTACAGCATCTTATATTCAGGAAGCGGATATTTAAAGTGCCTGTTTAATCCCTTGGTTAAACATTAATTTCACTGGATTTAATCATACATAAAAAGTAAATACAAATAACACGAAAATATAAATAAACATATTGATAATTGTAAAATCAAATCCTACTTGATTAAACGACATCGTTGTTCTTCAATGCGCGGACCGGCAAATTCTAAGTCATTTATTTCTTTAGCACTCCAAAGACGTTCTGCAACAGCACTTGTAACCGGCCTGTCAACAATACATATTCAAAAATAGAAATTATCAAAGAATCTCAACAAATTTGTCAGTATCTATTGTCCAAAAAAGTATCTTAATTATGCGCAAACTCAACGAAAAGCAGGAGGGTAATTTCTTTCTTTCCAGACAGTGTGGAACCAATGGATTTTACGGTAATGAACGCTCTCTTTTTAAAAAATCTAAATTGTTTCTACATATTTGAACAAGATGTTCCTGTCCTACTGAGAATTAATGGATCCCAACTGTCCCCTCATATTATCATAATCCTTGTGTCGAATATCCTCTTAAAGCAAATTATGAAACGTATCTTTTCAAACAACTTGACCTCATATATTTATTTTTTACATATAAAGCGATATAAAATTTAAAAAAAACTGGTTCAGCGAAAACTATTGTCTTCGGCTTTGAAAATGAATTCGCCAAAAAGAGAACTCTTTGCTTAACCAATTTTCTTTTACTTTACGCTTAACAATGATTTCTCCATCAATCGGATAATGCCTTTAGATTGACATGCATTCTGTAATTAATTTAAGAATAAAATTTACTTATGACATATCCATGCATGTATTTTGAAGGATAGATGTGTTTCGGTAAATAAAAAAATATACACTACCATAGAATTGTTACAAGAAAATATATATGCCGTCATTTGTTAAGGATAGTTTTGATAACAAACAGCTGGAATCTATTAGATAAACTAGAATTATTGAACACCGGATAAGTAGAAAGCTACTTATCCAAATAAGTGAATTGTTTGTTGAATTCTAGGAATTACTAGCAAAAAAGGAAAATGGAGGTAATGAGTACATACGTTATAGTTAATTAAACAAGGAAAACAACTTTGAGAAAGTATTTCAATATGATTAACGTAATAAGTTTAATTACCAAATTTTTGTTAGAACTGTATAATCCGATTGGTATTCACTCCACATGCAAGCTTCACCACCTAGAATTTGTCGTTCAGTTTCCAGTGGAGCATCTTTACGAAAAAATACAACCGCCACAACAACAACAACAGAAATGTAAGTAGATATTCGATATTAATAATAATGATAATAGCAGCAAATCATTCCTAATTCCTTTTACAGGCGGTGATAAGTGAAACCAAAAGATAAAAACTTAAGACCCTGTTAAATCAAAACCAGTAACCTATGGGAATTATATTCTCAATGATGTTTTTCATTTTCACTACAACTAGATTATTTCGATTCCATTGCTATTTATCTGATTAATGTCATTTCGTTGTCCTAATGTAGTATGATAGCATGAGTAAACACAAATTCCTACTAGACTTTGTGTTAGCCATAACTGTTTGATTCGAACTTTGCACTCGTGAGACTTACTAGGCAATAATTCCCTATTATTGGAAACTCCATGTCAACTGATTATACATCATCGTTTAAGGTATACATTAATTAGAAAATAATGGACTTACCGTTGGATGGATCGCATAGATAAAAATCTGTCCAACGCTTAATATCATTAAGTAAATCCAAATACCAACAACTTGAATAGATAATATTAAAACCTTTAGATAAATGAGATAATGGATGACTTTTCCAAACTTGTACAAACAGCGATTTTTTAAGCTGTGAAAAAATCGAGCGCACAAGATAAAAAAAATTATGAATATATGGGAATTCCGTAATAAAATGGGAAAAATATTTCAGTGACTCAAGGTTATGCTTTAAATGTAGGTGAAATACTGAATACGTAGAACTAGGTGAAACAGCTGTCTTATTCCATTTTTAAGTTATTTGCTGTCGTGAACCATAGAGCCGTTGTGTGAAGTATAGGAAATGACTATCACGGTGAACATAAAGGTGCTAATTCATGATGAAGCCGTATGCAAAATAATTACGATTATTTCATGACATAATCTCTGTCCACTTAAGTAATTCCTGTTTAATTACTTAGACTAAATAGTTTAAACCAATTAATGATTACTATTGAAATATAAATAAACCACATGGGAGTGTAAAATGATAACTATAATAAGAAATTGTGTGGAAGTCATTGTTGAAGCGTTTATGAATATATATATATATATATATATATATATATATATATATATATATATATATATATATATATATATAGGAATTAAAATTCAACTCCATTGCACAAGCCACTGGTTATTTGGAAGCAGTAGCTAAGTAAATAACACGATGGCGTTTGGGTGATCAGCACTGGTATTGATTTCTAGTCTTCATCAGAGCATCAACACTAGGATACAGGTATAACCTCAGCTGACGAGTCCCAAATTGAACAATATAGGCATCCTGAATTCCACTGCAAGTAATCACCAATCTCTTCTTAAAAAGTGGAATTTTGAAAGTAATTTATTAAATTACAAATTATTTTTCCTTACATCGGTTACATGTTCTACGACATCTTCCCACAGAATTAAATTTCGTCTCGATTGAGGATTCTTCTTGCCTATTTGGGTAACTAGATTTTGTACACTATAGAAAAACAAAAATTAAGGAGAATAAATACACAAACATAAAAATCTCGATTAAATTTATATATTCTCACATGAAAAGCATCGATACATTGGTGACTAAACAAACATTTACTGGTGAATGAAATAATATTTTACCAACAAAAATTAAATAAATAAGAGGTTTTATAATCAGTATAGCGTATTTATAGATTTAAATTAACATGAAATGCACTAAATATGAATTAGATTCTTTCCGAAATATAGACAGATAACGACAACCAAATCTGTTAATTTCCTAATTGATCCTAATAATCGTTGTCGAGATTAAAAGTTGAATATTCCTGTTAGTTCCACTACACCGAACGTAAGGCTGTAAGCTAAACAAATTATTATTAAATAAAACGGCAAATAGAGCTGAAAACTTTATTAGTTTCCATCATGGCGCTACCTCATACTTTCGAAAAATGTTCGAACAATTTTCTTAGCTCTTTGACATTTATGATCCTATAAATTCATAATATTCGTTTTTTGATTCTAACCTAGTTACTAAAATATTGACTTTTTATCGAAATATTTTGCTAATTCTCTTCCTAAATATTATGCAACCTGATAATCATAATTGAAGTCCTGTCAATTTTTACAATCAATTACTTTGGTTATTATGATCCTCTTTCTTCCAATTACTCAATCATATGATATTAATTTGTAATTACTGTGAAATTGAGTGATCATTATGTTACACCAGTATTTGATTAGTATTATTTTATTGTTATATATATATATATATATATATATATATATATATATATATATATATATATATATATATATATATATTGTTTTACCGAATGTCCAAGTGGAAATTGTCACTACAATTACTATTTACTGTAGAAATATACATATTCTGAAAAAAAACTTTGGTCGACCTCGAATGCCTTAATACGATAAATGCAGAATATATACTGACCAATTTTGAGAAGAGTAACTACTCACACAAGTCCACGAAACAAAAAAAAAACTATCAGTTTAATAAAAAGCATAAAATTAAGCACATCAAACGAAGAACACAATGCTACATGGGAAAGTAATCCCATGGATAAAAACCAAATAATCGAGATATTTCGAAAACTAAAGAACACGAAGACAGATGGAAATAAAGGTAAATATAATCTAAATAGCTGATAATCCGCCACCTTACTATGTTTGTAAATAACTTAAGAAAAAAGCATTATCTTTGGAAATAATATCAGCAAATTACCATCTCCAAAAGTAGTTAATCCAAAATATTGAACTCGACTGATCATGATTTTCAACGCCCTGTAGAATTTCAGGATCACGCTCCCTTTTAAAAAAGATATAAATATGTATAACAGAAAATCTATGAAATTGAGAAACTAAATTAGTGGGATCTAATACACTTATATATGAACGAGGAATATTCGTTTCAAAGGATTCTCTTTAGATTCTCATGTTATATATTCAAATCATTAATCTAAAAAGTGACCAGGTTTAAGACAAATACATTGTTTAAAATTATAGCATATGGATTTAAGACTGTTGTAGAATAAAATAAAACTTATTGTTGAAATGACTACCGTGCAGCGTTAACAAGTTAAATTATTTCGGTAAGAAATAATAAAGTAAGGTGAGAGGTAACCAAATTATTCATGTGTTCAGAAGATTAGTGTTGAAATAATAATAATACAAAGATGTGTGGACAAAAATACAAAGACAATAATATGTAAAAATTATATTTGAAATCTAAATAATTCCGACGGATTCAGAGTTGGATCAATCTATAAGATCCATATATATATATATATATATATATATATATATATATATATATATATATATATATATATATATATATATATATATATATATATATATATATTCATACAGACATGACAGTAATAATAAAAACACAGATGAATTGTTACCGCTCAAATAACACTATCTGACAAATAAGATAATTGAAGGGCTTGACAAAATTAACCGTAAACAAAATTATAGGAGAGGTGCTATAATACGATCTTTAAAGACCAAAATCCGCCTCAGAATAATTTAGTTGTAAAACTGGTTTTTATTGTTGTGCAAAGTAAAGTAGCTGTTTTCTGCTGAGTTCTTGTATCATTAGTTGCGAAAAAGCCATGTTACTAGTAATTACATATTATATTGGTGAGTAGACACGTCCATTCTGTCAGGAAGTCAAATTACCTTAGTCGATCGCAAATGTAAAAATTTCGATGCTGATAAAATATTTCGCAAGATCTACATATCCCTATCTAGGAAGATTGAGTGCATAATAGAATCATAGAATGAGTGATACTGAAGTAATCATTGGATGCTAATTAGAAGCCCTAACCAGTTGACGACGATATGAACTCTGCTGTCAAATTTAGTTCAGACACATATGACGCATACCTAGCCATCACCTACACAAACTTCAAGCAGGTTGAAATAAACCTTGGAGTGACCAAGCCAAGATCTCAAATCAGTTCATGCTGTCACTAACTTTCAATATTGACGTATCAGGACGAAAACTAAAGAAATGGTAGCTTCCAGAACTATTTTATGGATTATTATATAAATTGAATACTCATTCAGTAACTGAACTACAATTAAGGAGGAATAGTTATATTCGTAAAATCTCAGGCGATGGAACTTTGAGTAAGTCCTACGTTTCTCTTGGAAATCTTCGCAAAGCTTTTTTAATGAATATAATCAAACATCAAAATTATCGAACATAAATAAGTACATGGTTTTTCGGTTAAATGTATATTAAACAGGCCACCCAATCATGTTAACAAAAGTGAAAGTGATAATTCGCTGTAATGCATATGAGACATCTGGTGTGTAAAGAAAAATTTGATAAGATAATAATTGTATGTATGTGTAAGTGGATCTGAAGTGAGAGAAGAAATTTCACTGATTATGTATCGCCTCTGACCAGTGATTTTTTTTATTCGAACAGACAACTTTATAGATTATATGAGTCAAGTGACAGCATGCATTAAATGAAGATAAACAAAAATAGTGTTTTTGTTATTGTGTCGAGCAAATTAATTGTTTATCATCTATTCAGATAAGCCAACTGATTAGAAAAGTTGAAAGTAATCGTTGTTGTTCAAATAACAAGTGATAGATTATATGGAGTAAAATACAATGTATTCCAACATTGTTGAGATGATCAGATAACCTGTTTGGTACCATGAATTTATTTATTTTCGATAATTTTGATGTTTGAAAAAGTTTTGCCAAGATTTCCGAGAGAAACGTTGGACTTACTTAAAGTTCAATCGCCTGAGATTTTACAAATAAATTTTCCTCTTTAATGCCTTACATTAGCTTGGCTCCCAACTACTGTGAAACGATTTGTTCAAATTTAGACGAAAGCTCTTATAAAGTGGATTACTATGTTCATGTATTCCATTTATCGTAAGCTTTCGTTTAACTGATCGATTATTATTACGCAGTTTGTTATTTACAACTTATTCACAGTCAAATATTCACATCTTGTCTTTCTAACATCCATTTTTGGTTTGCTGATGTACAATTGTGACTTTTTGAGCTTATAGTGAGATGTGGTCCAAGATGTTTGTATATAATCTAATTGTGTATGAAATATAATATACGGTAGAAGATGGCTACTAAATTCTCTTCGGACCCAAGGTAAGGAATAGAGAAAAGCTTGCTGATAGAGAACCAGTAGGAGCTTGGCTTGAGTCAGTTGAAGTTTAACTGTTCCGATCAAGTCCAAGATACCAGACTTTAAAGGTAATAGTAAGCGGGGGATAGAAAGAACTTTATTCAGAATACTAATTGGTGACATTAGTACGTGATATCGATTAGCGTATCAAGTCATAACGCCAAGAAATGCCGACAGTTCATGAAGTAATAAACTTTAGATTGGGTTGTGTTGGTATATCTGGACTACCTAGTCAGAGCCCAGACGGTTACTACGAGGAATGATTGGATAAGATAATCAACATGCCCCAGAATCGACACAAATGCATTTACTCTTTGCCTTCCTATGAATCTTAGCTTTGAAATTATCTCATATCTTTCCAACCTACAAATTCATTCTTCTTCCTCATATCATATTGTCTACCGCTATGCTTTTCGACTACCACTGATGCAGCTACTACTTCTACTACTCTGGGATTGGTCTAGATAATCTCGTTTTGCTGTGTTGATATGGTGTGGCAATTTGAACCGATGCACACATGTGACAAGTTCTACATTGCGTATGCCTAACTGAGTGATTTAAATGTTGACTAACAAAAATGTATGTGTGAGAAATAAGACAGAGGATTCTTAATATTTTTTGCTAAATACTTCAGTATATACTAACAACAGTATTTAAATAACAAGCCATGTAAAGAACTTACAGTATTTATTTTTAAAAAACAACATAGCATTGCCTAATACTTAATGAACGATTATTATAAACACCTTAGTCCTACAGAAGACTAACTACAATTAGAAGAGTAAATTATTAATATCTCTCACTGTGATTCCGATCCGTAACATTATAAGAAATATCAATGCCTTAACGATTGCAGATAAACTTGACTATTTCGATATAACGATATTCAATCAATTAAACTCAACAATTTGTATGTGTACATGAGAATGATTGCAACTTAGTTAATCATACAAATTAACTTTTGTTTTAATGTTTTATCAATATAACAGCAAGTTCAATTGAATAAATACACATTGAAAGTAACGCAGTGTGGAAAGTTAAACACGAAAATATAAAAATAGCAATCAGTACTTTTCTACGAAGATAACAGTTACATAATAAACTGCTCTCTTTCTTTTGATTTTTACAAATGCTTTGTCCTAGGAAATAGTAATCTCGAGGAAATATCTAGGACTTTGAAGCTAGGAAACGCGGGTTTGGATCCTATAAAGTTTATCAATTCCTTCAAGATTATAGGTACACCTTGTCAACGAGTATCAAGTAGCACAAACATAGGGTCCAGGGTTTCCTTTTGATTACCTCCAACTATCCAACAATTGATTACTTATGGATAAAAAGCTGTTCTAAAGAAAGTATGAGCTTTTCTGACAGAAACGTTGTTTTAGAAGAAAATAATCGAAAAAACTATAGGGTATTTAATAACTAACCAACATATTGTTTCTACTTCATCACCACCCAGATGAATATAATCATCTAAAAATAATTGAAAAACTTCGTTAAATAAATTTTCTAAAAGCTCGTATGTTTTATTTGAAGCTGGATTGAGTGGGCCGTAATATGCAAGATCCTTATAATCATATTGACATTGTGACATAATTTCTGGATGAGAAAGTGACAAACTTCGAGTATGACCTACGGGAGTTTACAGAAGCAAATAAAGAAAACAAAACTATCAACTAATAAATTCTGATGAGTGAAAAGTCATTTAAATTAACTTCATTTATAACAAATAACATCTAATATGACATTCAAACGGTTGTACTGACTGAATTATGTACGGTATACTGAAAGAGATAAGAGTTAGTTGATTAACAAACGTTTAACACATTAAGTTATTGATATTTTTAAAAATCATCGAATTAAATATATTTAATTTGAACACCAAATATTAGAACAAGTTGAGATGAAAACCGTTTTAGAGGATAAGTCAACTAATAGTTCACAAAAGAGAACAAGAGCTTTAATTACGGTAAGCTTCTAAATATTCATTGCAGTTATTTTTACAGATACATCTTGCAGACTATCAAATGAAAATAAGCTTTTGAAAAAAGAAAAGCCTAAACTGATATTTTCATAAAGTGATGCGCCAATATCACAAATAAGGCAAACGAACACCCAAATTATAAATCCAAGGCTTTCAGTTTTTCCGTTGTTGATACTGTTATAGCCTAGTGAAGATTAAATTACGGGTGACTTCTAGGAACTATTAATGTACTATATATGAAAATTATATTTGAAATAATCTCAGCGATTGAAATTCAAATAATTCCAACGTTTCGTCCAGCTAACTTGTCTGGACTTCTTCAGGGTAATAATCAAAATCATCAAAGAAATATATAGATTTTAACAATCATAACTGTTCTTTGTTAAAACAGTCAAATTCGGGTGTTGATTTTTGTAAAATAGGATAAAATGAGTCAGTTGACTACAAATCATGTGAAAAATTCAGCTACATGGAAATAATTACCTGTAACAACATCAAGTGTATGTGTGTGTGAGTGTGTAAGTATGTATGTATGTGTGAGATTAATTATTGATATTCTGTGTTAATATGTTATATATGGAAGGATAAGTAAATAAATAAAAGTGCAAGTTCAAGGTTGAATAATTGTTAATGCATCTTCGATGTACATGTCAAAATTTAAGAATCAAACAGATACATAATTTCACTGCTTGAAATCATGAGTCAATTGAAGCTAGACCATCATGGAAAACCTGCAAGCACTGGACGGCCGTCTCGTCCTAGTATGGGACTCCTCAGCAGTGCGCATCCACGATCCCGCTCCGCGCGAGACTCGAACCCAGAACCTATCAGTCTCGCGCCAGATACATAATTGTATTGCTAAAACCTCATTGAATTCAGTCAACAATAACGATGCAGGTGAAATAAACAGGTTGAATAAAGATAGGGTTCAAATTACTTGTCAAACGAAATTTGCCAGGTATTCGCCAGTTGAATACCATCTCTTCGGTTCAGGCTGTTCTTGTTCGCCCATATATACAGCGCTTCTGCTGTCAACCTTTCCTGATGGATGTTAAAACCTTTCTGAAGTATTTTGGCCCCTTTAAAATTGATCTTGTGTCCTGTTTCTAACGCATGTAACGCTATCGCAGACTTATTCTCTAGCTTCTTCAAATCGCCCGAGGATTTGGGAACATTTTTCAAACATTGTTTGTGTTCCTTCAACCTTACATTCAATTGTCTGGATGTTTCTCCAACATAGGCAGCATTACAATCATGACAGTTGATCTCATACACAACATTCTGTTGCTCTTCCTTTGGTAACCTGTCTTTAACTTTCACTAATGTCGATCTTAAGGTGTTAGTCGCCCTAAAATACACTCTTATATCATGTTTGTTTAGAATCCTTTTTATTTCTTTCGATGTTTCACTACGGTATGGTATGACTACGGTGTCCTTCCAATCTTTTCGTATACATTCTAGTTTAGTTTTTCTCTCACTTTTAACAATCTTCTTTAAAAACTCTTTTGGGTAGTTGTTATCCCTAAGAGTAGAGAATATTTATTCAGTTCGTTGATCTTCCTTATCTGTAACAAGCTTAGTGCTTCTATTCATTAAATTTTTTACAACATTAATTTTCGTGCACTGTGCATGTGCTGAATCAAAAAATCTAAGTATCTCTCGGAGTGTGTTGGTTTCCTGTAAACACTTATTTCCAACTTTTTATTATTGTGCCGACGTTCGACTAAACGATCTAGAAATGCTAGTTTGTGGTCAACTGATTCTAGTTCCTTCGTTAACTTGATGTTTTCTGACATGTTGTTTACATTGTTAAATAGTTCTTCCAAACCATCCCGTTTATTGATAATAAAAAATATCGTCTATATACCGTAGCCATAACTTTGATGGATATACACTTCTTGTGATTTCACTAGTTTCTAGGGGATGCATGAATAAATTCGCTACAATCGGAGAAACTGGTGAGCCCATTGTTATACCCTCTCTCTGTCTGTAAAGGTGACCTGGAAATATGAATAAGGTAGATCTTAAACATAATTCTAAGCATTTGTTAACTTCTGATGGATCTAATGGGCAACGTAAATTCAAATCTAAATCAGATTCTAAACAATCATTGATAATATCCAAGGTTCGATTAATAATTTTCAACAATTTATTGTTTTTAAATTATGTTCAGTTTATTGATTGCAGTCTCTCACGTTCAAAGACATTTCTTGGCTTGATCTTATATAAATGTTATTCCCTATTTTATGGTGTGATGTGGTCTGTTTGGCCAGCATATAAACCAAGTATTTTGAAAATGATCCGCATAGTAGAGTCTGTTATTGGCGTTATGGACTCAACTGGACGGGCTAGGCGAACATAGGACCAATAAGGACGCTAGGTTGCTCATTTATTTAGCACAGTACTAAGATTGTATAAGTCATATTTCGATTAGCGAATAAATCACGTGATAATTAACCGGGCTTACAGTCACAACAGATACAAAAAGCAGGAATTGATAAATTTTTATAGGCATTTGTGTAGATCATGAGCAGATTGTCTGCATATGACCTAGATTTTTTGATGCAATGCATAAACTCGTAGCAATAGTACAAATAATTTTTATTATGAGATGATACAAGATGTAGTACGAGATTTTCAAGTCGACTTAATTTGCTATTAATACTTAATAATGAATAACCACGAGCCAAGTAATGGTGAAAACTAAGATACTCGGACCACACATAGCGTCATAATTGCCAACTACTTGAGAAATCTAAACTAATTGCATTTTATATTTCGATCGAGCGATGACACGGGGTTAAATTTAATCACTGTTATTGGTGAATTAATAAGTCGCATTCAACATCATACAATATAGCAGTCAGGACCTTTTACTGTAATACTGAAAAATCCATCTCAATGCCAGTTACTAGTGGAAACACAATTATTATTTACCTATGTGATTTTGCAGAGATTTAATTGATTAGAATTGCAAACAAGAGAGGAGGTAATAAAGATTTATTCAAAAATCAATGGTTTAATCATTTGATAATCAAATAACTCATTAAAAAACTAAAATCGATTAACTCTGCATACACTGAATTAATCAAATTCTTTTATTAGTATATTCAAAGTGAAAATGTGCATCTGTTTGTCTATGTGATTAAAAAGTAATTAGGAAACCAACGCTCTGCTTATATACTTCAATTCTTAATGTTACCATAATCGCATGATACAGAACCCTAGTCAATACTAAAAGCAAATTTGACGCACTTTCTCATTGAAAATAATAGTTCCCTTGAGCGAATTCATCTTTTTTCAAACAGAAGTGTCAGATGTAACTCCACCTGTACACTTCTACGGTTACGACTGGTCCAAACCCTGGACAGAGGAGAATGGTTGAGGATGAAGTTACCAGCTCCATCACGTAGAAAATAATTCGAACTATCTAGACTCCATTTTGACACTTGAGAGGTCTTCATTTAGAACAGATATGAGACCTCATGGTGAAAGCCAAGATTCTTCGGCAATCTCGATCCCGATGTCCGTCCTGACAATCACAGTACAAATTGAGAAAAGTAGGTTGAATGTTTGCATAATGTAAGAGACTGACAGGACCAATCAGGGAGATATGGAAATAAGAAGACACAACCTGGCGATGCTCAGAATAATTGATACATATTGTACGTAAGCTGGACAGAAAAGATTGTACAAAGCTGAAACTTGGAGAACTACTACAACCATAATCAAAAAGGTATAAGTAGTTACAAACAGCTGTATACGCAAGAAACTCAATGTCCGTTGGCCGGATGCCATCAGGAACAGTGACAGAGAATGTTTAAAAGTCTTTTTATCATGGAAAAAAGTAAAGTCATGAAGGTCGTTTAAATACTGATTTACTAACCTATATTAATAACTAAATATAAAAGAACCACAACTAAATGATGATAACAACAGTAAAGAATCGCTTGTAATTTTATACTACGAATATAAAGTGAATGTAATCAATCACGGAATCTTCAACTCCATTACTTGATGGGAAGCAGGCTCTTTAAGGAAAAGGTAAAGTTATTGCAGCATTGAATAAGGACTTAATTTACTGACTGAATATTGAAACCCCATATAGAATGTATCAAAAACTTTGGATAGTGATGTAGTGAAATTAACCGACAGGTAATTGACCTCCACAATTTAACATACAAATCTGTACGTCATGTTTAAATTTAACAACCAATGTAATATAATTTTTAAACTCAAACTTCACGGGAAAAGTAAAATGATGCTCGTTTTTGTTTTAAATGACGTCGCCTTCTAAGGAGGTGTCCATAGAACTGATAAAATGTATTATAATACAAAAAGGCTGAAAAACGAAAACCAGATAGATTGAAAAATAATCAGCCGTGTTTCGAAAAATACAAATTATTAAGGGTAAAGAATGAAGTTCCATTGCTTAATATTGAAAATATGTGTATTTATCTGTGTTTAAAATTGAAAAAGTGTGAACAGTACTGTATGACAGCATTTTAGAACACCAGAAGAAGCTAAAATTTAAGGTAAGTACAACAAGAACACGTAAATTTAAAGCATTTGGGTGGTGGTAGTGATAAGGAAGTTTTGAAAACCATGTTATTTCAAGCAAGTGTATGGAGACTTAGTATATAAGTTAATAATAAAATGCGTGGTATAACATATGTATCTAAAAAATAACAATACCTGGTATATCGAATTCAGGAATAACACGAATGCCTCGAAATCGGGCAAACTCCACAATTTCTTTGATATCACTCGATGTATAAACTAAATCTTCTCGATAAGCACCCTAGAAATACACAAAACAGATATACAAACACGTGTACATGGTAATAAATTATGAGGACAATAGAAATTTACATGAATAAGGAAAAGCGCAATTATTCAAAATTAAAAAACGGTAAATATAATCTTTACTAACCGATTCTTTTAATTTAAAGACAATATTTTAGCCTAAAGAAATTACATGTATGCTGCTATGAAAAAAAGGAGCTACGGTGAATGACCAATGGACAACAGTCAAACAAATCATGAGACGTAATACTAATTAACACTAACGGACACATACGTTTTAACAATACCGAAAAAACGAGGATCCAAGCAACTGAAATTTTGAAAACTGGCCATGGTAAGACTGTGAAAAGCAATGATTTGTGAGATAATAATACACGCAGCAGTTCACTCGACATGAGAGCAGTAGGGTGAGGAGTAAACTTCGCCCACTAGGTTTAAAACCTTATCAGTGATATTTTAGAAATCAATTGTGGATAAATACTGATAGCCATATATTCTCCTTAAAAGCAAATTGTTGCTCAGTAACAAAACAAGATTAAAAAGGGAGAAGAATGATCGTAAGGACAGACAAACAATGTTTCCCAAGAATAAAGTTACATATTGTATAAGAATCACGTTATATTACGAATTAATTGAAGTCGAAATTGTAGATAGTTGGATATCGATTTCGTGGTCCAAGGTATTTCGCCCTCTGTGAGACATGAAGGTTCAGAATTTTTGTCCCGCATGAGATCGATCGGTGAACATCATGAAGTAGTCTCGTAATAGATGAAATATCTATCTAGTTCTACCTAATTTTCAATGACACATTATCCGATAGTCTAACGAACGAATACTTGTTCAAAGGTAAATCAATTATATTATACAAAATTACACACTGCATTGCAAAATGAGTAAACAATACAATAAATACACTATTTGTACATCTTTGAGTTGTCTCTTACAAACCTCATCGTTCTTCCATTCCTGTTGTCACATTGACCGCTTTGTTTTTCTTTTCTTCTCATTTTCCTCTTCTGCCGGTAAGAATTCTACTTACAATTCCTGCTACTACTGTTCATATAAATGGCGCACACCACAATTGCACCCAGTAATGAAAACTACCCAACAGTTCCAAAAGGCCCGTTTTACCAATTTGATAATTAATTATATATAAAAGCATATCTATTTCTCTAGTTGCAAAGAATTTATCATTCTCAAACAAAACATACTTTAGCTGAAAGTTCAGGATATACATCACTTTGATATGGAAATGACTGGTCATCCACAATATGCCAATGTAAAACATTTAATTTATTATAACTCATAGCTTCCTAAAGAAGATAGAAAATATATCCACAATCAAAATATTAACGAAATGTATACAAAATATAAATATGTAATTGAATAAGTTATCAGGCTGGTTTCTTAACACTGATTACAAACATATCACAATGAGAGAGAAAAATAGACTAAGTAGAAAGGGTTACATTTACACCATGAATGTTGTTTTGGATTAATCATCTGATTAGACATATGGTCAATTTTTAAGAGGCACAAGCATCTTTTGGATAGATTTCGGTCAAGTTGATTTATGTGAACTCTCATGGTTTTTACTTCCTCTAGAAGGCGAAATATTGAAGCACAAATCAAACTAATTAGAATCCTATAGGTAGATTTAAAAACTAATTTCCCATCAATTCGGTACTCGGTATCTATTAGATGTAACAAAATGGAGTTTCTTATTGCAATTGTCTGTCATTCCTCTAAACATGTTCAGAATAGCAAATGTTTTAAGATTGAGGATATGTAATATTTTATTGGGGTTACAAAAGGAATGGGATAAAATACATTAAGAACCAGTAAAAAAAATACGTAGTTCATCATGATTTTAGTGAATATCAGCTTACAATTATATGATGACACTTAATTAAAACGAAACCTACAGTTCAACACACAATTTCAAATTAACTTGGTTTTGATCGCTACTGATGACAAGATTCCAGGCATCTCAGCCACGAGAGATGCAAAAAAAGCATTTCTTACGCCTGTTACCCTTTGTGGAAGAGCATAGGCCGCCCACAGGCATTCTCCATCCAACTCTGTCCTCCGCTCTCCTTTCCAACCGTTTCCAATTCATATTCATTCTTTTGATATCTGCCTCCAATTCCCGAAACAATGTGTTCTTTGATCTGTCCCTTTTCCTTTTGCCTTCAAGACTCCACACCTAAGAGCTTGCCTCGTGACACAGATTGATGATTTCCGTAATATATGTACTATCGACATCCAGTGTCTTTTCTCAAGTTCCTCTTCAGCTGGAAGTTGGTTTGTTCTCTCCCAAAGTACGTCGTTGCTAATGGTATCCGGCCAACAGATATCGAGGTTCTTGTGTATACAGCTGTTTATAACTACTTATACTTTTTTGATTATGGTTGTAGTAGTTCTCCAAGTATCAGCTTTGTACAATAGAACTGTCTCATTGTTAGTATTAAAAATTCTAGCTTTGGTGTTGGCTGACAGTTGTCTAGAGTTCCATATATTCTTCAGTTGTAGGAATGTTACCACTGCGTTGCCAATCCTTGCCTTTTCATCTGCATAAGATCCTCCTGATGCAGATGTAAATTTATACTTGAAGCTAAATGTTCTATAATACTAGTGAGAAAAAATACTTTTTGATCTTTGGGCACAGTAACCGATGTCATATTTCTCAGTTATCAGTAATTCATTATACCACATCAGTATAATGGTGCATCTTTCGCTTAGCGAATATATTATAAACATATTGTACATTTGAAACGAACATATATTTATATTAAAGGATAAATACATATTATGAAGTAAATGGATAGTTGTAAAAAGTCAAAGTTTATAGTATATTAAACAAAAAGTGACTAGGGAAATACATAATTTATTTCAGTGTAACAAGTCAATCAAAAATAAGCAAGCTTTACATAAACATTTTGAGTAGACAAGATACTGTCAAGTTGTATTTTGTTTTAGTTAGAAGAAACAATAAATAGAAATACAGTTTATGTCAAACATTTATTTCAGTGACATTATAATTAGAAATGTAAACATCTGAATCTTTCAGAAATCAATCGATTTAAGAAGACAATAAAATGTTCAACGTTTTGAAATGCGAAGTATAAACTCTTACTTCCGGTCATTTAACTTTTGCGATCCCGCCTATTTCAAAATTTTCATGAACCTTAATGAATAGAATACTTTTAATATGAAGATTAGAGATATCGACACTGCGTTAGCTCAACCTTAACACCACGGGGGTAGCAAAAAATGTTGTACATGCCTCAGTTCAATTAACTCACAATACTGCACGAACATATTTGGTACACAATAAAATTCCTGTTTTTTAATCCCTGATATATGACCGATTAAGTTACTGCAACACCGAATTTAGGTTCCCCATAGTTGTAATAGACATCATATTATTTAGTAAGCTCTGTTTACAACAGATGATGCCGAATAAAAGCATAAAAACAGGCTTACCAAGTTCAATAAAATAACAGATTTGCTTATGAAATGCCTAGAAGTGTCAATCATTAATCCACGATGTTTGAAACGGGGGTAATCGATAATGTACGTTCGGTTAACAAAAACCTGTAAGAAATAGTAATGAAAGGAAATTAGAAAAAAATTTTCACAACTTGAAGGTGAAAGCAGGATGACCGTAAATGAATACTGATTAAAAATCAGATAGTACTGAAAACTAGAGACTGCAACTATTCACATATTGACCGTTCGTCAGATTTTAGAACATATACGGGATCACAATTAAGACCTTCAGTTATCCTAGTGAGCATGTTGCTTTCAAACAACTAAGTAGGAATCGACCGATAAACCTACAAACAATCAATAATGTAATGTTTCGAGACTATTATTTAGTGTTATCGATAGTTTTTGTCTCACTTCCAATTTAGTTGAACCTAAATGATCAATGTTTCATATTAGAACTTTTAGAAATGTGTTATTTATTCCTACTGTAATTTACCCCTGTTACCAGTGCAGAAACTAAGTATAAGCAGTAATACACTTTTTATCGATGAATCGCTTCCTTTTACATCTAGAATTCATTGTGAGCAAAGTCTGAAACTAGGTTATGAAAATTTGTTTGCTTAGTGGTTACTGTTGTTTAATTTCTTCATAGACCTACTGATGGAAATAACATTCTCGTTGACTAAATTTCCAGGAATTGATCTTCCAAGAGGTCAACTAGTGGACTTGGAATACACAGATGACATAGTTTTGTTTGGTAAAGACGCTCATAAAATGCAGTCTTTTAGCAGCACTGAGTAACAATACCAGGATGTTTGGAATGCCTGCGCCGACACCTGAACTAAGGATAGAGAAGAAGCAGTCGAGCGTGTCGACAACTTCACTTTTCTTGGAAGTCTGATCAGCGCTAATGAGTTGGTGTCTGATGAAGTCTCAGCACGGATTCGAAAAGCTCGTTTGGCTTTTGCCAACTTACGTCATCTATGGCGAAGGCGAGATATCCGTCTATCAATTAAGGGATGAGTATACTGCGCAGCAGTTCGTTCTGTTCTACTATACGGCTGCGAAACATAGCCTTTAAGAGTAGAAGATATTCGTAAGTTACTAGTATTTGACCACAGGTGCCCCAGAAATATTGCTTGCATCTGCTGGGATTATCGGGTAAGTAATAGTGAGGTTAGACGCAGGGTATTAGGGAATGATGGTAAATCAGTTGATGAGGTTATGAATCTTCATCGACTGAGATGGTTGGGCCACGTGATGCGTATGCCTGAACACCGATTACTACGATGCGCAATGCTAACCGGTGTTAGGGATAATTGGAAGAAAGTTAGGGGCGGTCAAACCGAAACATGGCATCAGTGCTTGAAGTCACTAACTTCTGGTCTGAGCCATGTTGGTAGACGCAGACTACTTGGTTGGCGTCCGCGTGACTATCGTAACCAGTAGTCAGAGACTCTGTGTGACATGACTCAGAATCTGTCACAATGGCGTAAGTGTATACACTCTCTGTCTTCCTTTAAACTATGAGATTAAAATCGTATCATATCTTTCTTTCTACAAACGAATTCGTTCTTCCTGTATTATATCCTTATATGCAATCTTTCTTTTATGTATTACCACCATTAAATTAACTGCTTCTATGTATTCGGTGTTCATCTAGTTGTGCTAATGAGGTATGACAACTTGGACCGATGCATATATGTGCCTGGTTGTACGTTGTAACTGATTGACTGACTGAACCCCAGCTCTAAATTATACAGATCTGCATAAACTACCTAAGAATTATAAACGTTTTAAAAATGTATAGAATGGACTTTAAAATGCATACCTATTCTTTTACTAGATAATTTAATCAATACACTTTTTAAAAATTTCGGTCAAAATGCCCAGCCAATAATAATGCACAGAAAAGATTTGTGTATACACACTATATGTTTGTAAACGGTGAAACTATATTCGCAACTATCGGCTTACTTACGCCTGTTACTCCCAATGGAGCATAGGCCGCCGACCAGCATTCTCCAACCCACTCTGTCCTGGGCGCAACTATCGGCAGTAAACAAATAATAGAATTTCATTGAGGCCATGTATAACATTTTTAAATAAATCATTCAAGCTTACTCTTTTTACTATTATTTCATAAGTGCATACTATTTATATATAGCAGAATTCCAATTTGTTTAAATGAATCGAAACAACATAAACTCGTCATTCAAGAATTAGTGAATAATGAAAGCAAAATTAAGAATAAAATGAAGTGGATTCAACCACGATACTTACATGAGATTGATCTTTCATAGTCCACATTAATTGACTAAGTGTTTCTAAACCTCTTAAAGCCCCCCATGTTTCATTAGAAATAATAAAAATGCCATTTTCTGTAACACCCAGGATATCTGAAATAATAAGAAAAGATAAGAGCAATCATTTTAAAAACTGAGAAATAATTTACATTAACTACACCAAACAATAACATTCAATGATAAACTACTATTTATAAATAAAAAAACGAACTGATTGTAGGAATGATGAAAAGAAAGCAATCATTAGTTTGCTATTGTCGTGATTACGTAACAACAGGAAAACGTTTTTGTTAGATGATAGCAGTGTTGTACTCCTTGAAAATAGAGAGAGAACACAATACAATCAAAGAGGGATCAATGATGTTCAATGGGCGTAGAAAATAAACCGCGGTACATGTGATAAGAATTCAATAGTAGAGATGTTCTTCATTTTAATCAATCAATTCTTAAATAAACAAAAGAAGTTTTCTTTAAAATATCGTTCAGTGGGTTCTGAATAAAAGGCCTATCTAGAAAATGATTCCTAGATATTCACTAGAAAGACCAGGTTTATCTCGTATTTTTATCAATGATGTGTGGAAATAACTACGATAGCACTTTGCTAATTCATATCACCATACTGACCTTAAATGTTACATAAATGCCTGTTTTTACATTTAATTTGTGAATATTTACTTTACCTCTCGACGTCCATTATTCCTGCTATATATATATATGTTGTATGTTGGTCGCCCGATATATTGAGTTCTTATTAGATCCTGTTTGCATTAGACGGGATTTCAGTAGTTCGTAATTAGAAATTACCGTAAACTGATAGCAAAAATGGACAGTTTTTGATGGCAGTAAAAGGTTATTGTCCTCACTCTATGAATTCCAGAGGTCGATCATAATTGAGTAGCTAGAGAGTATTGTTGATCGACCTCACAGAAATTTTTGATTTTTGGTAGTTTTTTATATGAGTGATTATAATACATTAATGACAAGACATCATGTTATATAGATATATAGATAACTTACAAGATTCATCCATATTAACATGTGGCAATTTTGAATCGGGATTTATTACATGCAGCACAGCAGAATTTTGAATTCCTCTACGCCGTATACTGTGTTCAGATAATTTGTACTTGCGAATTAAATGAGACATTTGTTCAGATATAAAATTATGAGATATATCATTTGAAGTTTTTAAATTAGTGTCATGGGAGTTATTATTAGTACTACTTGAATAAAGACGATTCGCTCGGAATGATGTTGAACTTTTTTTCCAACTACTGTCGCGAAAATCCTGATTTCTCTTTACAGGAGAATTTTCACAAGTCGACTGATAATTATCAGAGAAATGACTGAATAAGCTCTTTTCATTATGTTGCCAAACTTTTGGGTACACAGAAAAACCAAGCTTATTTCGTATCATATGCGTATATCGATTTACAGCTGACTAGAAAGAGAAAAGAGATTGATGTACTGATGTGCATTCATCATTCAACAGTAACAAAACCTGTAGGCAATATAAAATGATAGTTATTAGATAATGGGTTCATGGTACATGTCATACATGGTCATAATTTGACGTTCATATCAGTTAAAAAGGTTAATACAGTATCAAGCAAATTAATTTATCCTATTTTCATTGAAATCCCACTTTACTACTTAGAGCTTATAACAAATTCATCGCAAACTCAACAATGTTTACAGTGAAATCAATAGCACAACTTGTCAGTGCATGCAATGTAAAGGAATTTCGAAATACTTAAATAACAGTTGCTCGATTTTCTACGCGGTTTCCAACACTTGTTATGCTGACTTGAAATTACTATAAAAAGTTTAGAAATATATTGATTTCATGTTTCTTACTAATATTCATTAGAGAGCGAAGATAAACAGATACCTAGAAGAATCAGAAACCAATAAATAGTAGATTATTTTTATTTTTTTAAAGAATTTCTCATCAGTGTACATCCACAATAGGATATGAGATCGAATTGGGGACATTTGAGCCTTGCAAGAAGCATGTCATCATTGGGCAAATGAGTTAAAACCCATTGGTTCATTTTTTAGAATTCTATCAACTCTCTTGTCGATTAATTTTGAAACTCTGTGTTGTTAAAAAACCAAATTACGTTAAACGCTTATATGGTGTTTGTAATACATTTGTTTACTTTTTAATTATATATATCATTTTTCCTTAGTTATAATAGTTTTCATTGCATTTTCTTATTTGATACTTCACTACTGTTGACAAAAATCATTTCAAGATTTCGGGGTTTTCACTGGTTGATTTTTATCTGTTTGGCTGAAGAAAGGTACAACCTCTTGGACTGATGTCGAACCGCATCAAATCTTATGTATACCTGTCAATCCATTCTGATTCGCCACCTAAGGTCAAACAAAATAGAAGCCGGTTGCAATCCCACTGTAGCTTTCTTTTGCACTCCTCATAAAAGATGATCATCCCTTAAATAAAAGTCTTTTAGCTATATTTTAAACCAAAATGGATACCGCTCTCATTCATTTATCTATAAATGGTACCAAATCAAGTTCAGTTGTAATCATAGACAATCAAATCAAACAACATTTATGGAGCCAAAGTCTTTCACTGAATCATTATTTTTATCAATTCAAATTTTTGTAAACGTTTTGAGTGAAAAAGAGGACGGAAAATTCAGATGAACCGTCAATATTAGAATCTGATACCTAGGATTATTATTCTTTAAACACTGAGGCCCTAAAATGATTTATGACACTAATATTTACCAAATAAACAAACAGTACAAACAAACGATGAAGAGAATAAGGTAAAATGTTTAACATATTGGAATGAAACACCCTACTTGTAGAATCTCATTTGAAATTGTATGAAATTCAAAGTGAAATTGTTGTATATCCACATTATAATAACATGAAGATGATGACCAACTCCATGGTAATGGCCATGGTGATCCAAAGGTTGGATGAGGGGAACGAACAACCGGTATTTTTATACCTGGAAATGACCTATATCTCCATGTGTTTTCAAGAATAATATCATTTGGTGATGATAACTGAAATTTCAACAAAAAATGTCAATTTACAAAACGAATGGAACTGAATGACGAAATTTTCTTTGATAAAACTTATTTGTTGGACATCAACGTAAATTTCACATTTCCAAAATCATATTTTTCCAAACAAATTTGAAATCAGACTTCTCTTCTTGATATCTATTCAGTATTTATCAATATCAAAGACTTTCGATGCATGAAATATTTCGGAGCTGAACGAACGTTTCCAAATGTGGTCAACAAATTGGTCGCCCCAAACGCATCGATAAAAACGAATTCGCTGCAGCTTCTGCTGCAACTAAATATCAAATCCAGCTATTATTCTACTGAAAGGTATAGATGAGCGATGGTTGCAATTGCATAACCCCATGGAAATGGCGAGTGAAGTCGCTTGCGGCTTCGCGAAACCTCCCGCTTATAAGCATTGAGTTTAGAGGCACGTCGGGTTACTCCGAGTAACCACGAGTTTGATGATAAACGTAGATTATTACGTAATGAAATTATGAAAAGTTTGAGTGGTCAGAGCGTGCTAGCGAATTGAAAGAAGCAGCTACATTTGGTAACTGCCGAAAGCTCTTTTAAATCAACCCAGCCACTGGCTGCAGGACGTCTGGTGTGGGTGAAACAATTTTTGAAACTGATGAGATGCCAGCTAATAACATGTACCGACGTATTAAACGATGGATAAAGTTCCTTCAGGAACAGTCCAGACTGTTCTGTCCTCCTTGGCCAGTATCGATTGATCTACTTAACAGTGGCTTGAGACATAATCAGACATGGCTCAGAATAAAAATCAGTGGCGGTCTTACGATAACTTTCTATACTTTTTCATATAAGTGACAGGAACTTCGTTAACTAAAAGGGTCCTTTATAATTGTAGAGTTTTAACAGGCCTGCTTCACCCATTATTATCATTTTTCACTCTCGAATAATTTCTATTCATTTTTGTTCTTTTTGGATTATACTTATATTTCTTTCCCTATCTCTTCACAATGTCACTTTTACTGTGTGATGCATATATACTTCAGTGACTTTTTGTACGAATAGTTATGTTAAAATAAACAAATAAATATAAACTGTAACACTTAGAAAAGAATATTAGTATCTGAGATATTACTAAAGTAAATAAAGGCACATTAATAGTAACCTTAATAACAATAGCCAAGATGACCTTATACCTTATCACATAAATATAATTGAAATGATCGTGAGATTTATGAAACTTGTAAAAATTGTAGATAGAATATGTTTACCATCAAGTAAGCTTTTTCAGAATTACTGGGGCCTTCTTCATTTATTAATTAAAATCACTGGATAGATGTGCACTTAGTACGTTTCAAAAGATTTTCCATTCTACAATACTCACAATACAACATACCAAATAATTTTTGATGCGTGTTAACGCGAACAATAAGACGAACTAATAACTGTTGGCTTTGGTTAATAACATGTGCAATCAACTACATACATATCTCAAAAACTATGTAATTATTATTTTTTAATAACCCAAATCACTAGAATTACCTCTAAATGTGTAGGCGACTGTTGATCTGGAAGTGCTTTAGTGACATCTAAACAGAAAATGACAAAGAAATAAAAAGATTAAAGATATACTACATTCAATGAAATATTTATTCATATACTTAAGAGTTCAATTATGTAATTTGGGTAAGTTACTAGTGATATGTTTGTTACTTGACCAGAATAAAGTGAAGCATTATTTTAACACAAAATTCACGGATCAAGTTAATTCCTTGAGTTACTAAACTACCATACCATGTTTACTATTACTCCGTAACTGTAAAATGGATGTCTTTTATTACATTAAATTTCTTTTCAATAAGTTCGAAGCGAAAATATATGAATTTTATTACTGAAATACGCACAGACCAATACAAAAATATCAAAAACAATTGAAATCTAACTGATATCAATCATTCAAAACTCATAACAATACAATAAATAATTTACGAGACCTTAAGAAATTGATTTCCATAGCAGTGTTACATGTATGCATTAAACAGTCACTCGGTCTCTCACATACCACTCATAAAATTCCCCCTCCCCCAGCGCGCAGAGTACCTCCTTTAGGCTACATATAAACCAAACCAAAAGCTCAATGTTACAAATATTTCCGCAGGCCTATAACTCATTGGTTCTTTTTCTTGTCCCACTTTTAAGAAAACGCAATCCCAAATCGAACAACATTGGCGATATAGTACTAGTATTACTTTTACTACTACTGTGGTGTATGATACTTATGTCTGTCGACATAAGTAGTATGTAACACCAATAAGTTGAATGCCTGTCAAAAAAAGGTTGAGAAGATTGCACTAAAAAAACAGAAAGAGAAACATTAAGGAATTGAGGAATGGAAGAATCACGAAGGATGTAAAGGACGAATCGTGGAAGATTTGCCAAAGTATTTAATGTATTGTTTTCATATTTTATGAAAGAACTAATTTTGCATCGAACAATAAATTGGTTGTCCGCACCCTACTTCACGCTTACTATACTACTACTACTACTACTACTACTACTACTAATAATAATAATAATAATAATAATAATAATAATAATGCTGTGTTAACTTGTCTGACATTATAAAATTAGAAGCTTCCTACTAGAATATTGAAAAGCCCATCTAGAATCTAGGTACTAGTGAGCTCACAGATGAAATACATATTCTCGATACTTTTTCTTTCGCGTTCACGATGAAACCTGTTTACAAACATAAAAACTTCAAGCGACAAGTTGATTTGATTTAGCCTTATAATGAAAGGAAAACAGAGAAAATTACAATAATATACACTTTAACCTATAAATTTAAATTCTTTTTTCTAAAAAGATTGATTAGTTCAATAGTCAGGTTAATAGTTAATACGCTTTTTCAAAATATATATAAATTTTAAATCATCAAATATTAGTGGCTATTACTGCATAATATACATGAAGATAGATACAAGCTTGATAAACAATACAATAAATATCAAAGAAAGAACTGGAAGCCATAACTAGGTGTAAAATCTGTTATTTGAAGTAATTTACTAGAAAAACTTAAATTCTCGAAGGATATATTTCATTCCATCTATAAACTTTTATTCACCATGCTTCATGTATTGTATAATGAAGCGACTTTTACGCTATCTCAAAGTAATAATTTCTGAGAAAGAGGCAATTAATATTTATGATTGGGTTATTTAGTAAATACTAATTCTTAATACAAAACAGTTGTGTACTTTCACTTTATAAACGGTTTCGTTAATAAAACGTTAGCTTTCAATAGGGTTATTTTGCTAATTCATTAAAAGCGTTAACTGTTTTTACCTGTACATTCTTTGAAGTTCAGCCGTTAATAATAATGAAAATGAATACTTGTGTGTTTAAGCAGTCATATAAATCGGTTACTGGGCTTGGGAAGTGCGCGTTAGGTTTTTTTCACGTTATTTCAATAGCAAATATTTTCTAAGTGTTCAGTCCAACAAAATGTTTACATGAGTTAGTAAATGTCATATGTCAATGACATTACAAACGTTACTAATTTATAAGGTATGGAATGATATTTGAAAATCATAGACTATATGAAACCTGAAATATATGAATGTCGACCGCATAACGCAAATAGTATGTCGACCATAAAAAACTGTATGTATGAATGTCGACATTCAGGTTTTATATTATAAGCCATTTTTAACAAGCATTTGAAATATTGGTTATATTAAAAGTAAATGGAATTATCTTATGCCTCCGGCAATTTATTTTTTAAATTGTCCCCCACCCCCGAAAAAATTTTTTTCCACCCCCAAATTACAATATTTTTCATCCCCTGTTTCGTCCTATGAAATGGTCAGTTTTAATTGGTTAGTTATTTCTTGAAAAACGTTATAAATTATCAGTACTTGTAGACGATGTAAATTTTAATCGTCATTATGGAGGACAGTAACCTTCCAAGTACAAGCGCTGTTGTTTCTGACGTAACGGAACTGGATGAAGTGTTTTTAACAACCTTGTTTCTGGTTACGTTTCCATCGGTTGAAGCGTTAAAGAACGCTATCATCAATTATGGAAGATCGAGTTACAGTCATTATGTTGTGCGAGATTCGCATATTAGTCGAGATCAAAATTCTTATATAAAATTTGTGTGTTGGAGAAACGGGCGTATTAGACGGAGAAGGTAATTTGGTTAATGTTATTATAATTTGTTTCACGAAGCGCTTCCATGAACAGCCAATGTCCGGCTTCCATATTTTGTAAGATTGTAGACGGCTACTGGACTGTCGTACGTGGGAATGTGCATCACAATCACGAGTTCAGTTCCCTGAGGTACGAAGGTAATTCATGGGTGCGTAGGTTAACGGAAGGTGAGCTTGAAGCTGTTAAACCGCTGCTGATATCTGGTACCGCAGCATTCCACCCAAAGAATTTTGTTTCATTGATTAAGATCATGAGTCAGTTGAAGCTAGACCACCATGGAAAACCTGGAAGCACTGGACGGCCGTTTCGTCCTATTATGGGACTCCTCAGCAGTGCGCATCCATGACCTCGCCCCCTGCGAGATTCGAACCCAGGACCTACTGACTTCGCGCGCGAGCACTTAACCACTAGACCACTGAGCCGGCATCCAACGGTGTTAATGTCTAACTTCAACTAATCCACGAAATTGAGCGACACATCCACCATTGTCTTCAGTGAGTTTCTATCCCACAACAGACCTGGTTGAACTCCACTGGTCACTACTTCTCACTAGAACTTCAGGATATACCTCTTGAAGCCAGTCACTAGTGAGCATATGTTGATTATTATCAGAAGGGGTTTTGTGGAGATTGTAGTAATTTCATTGATTAAGATCATGAGTCAGTTGAAGCTAGACCACCATGGAAAACCTGGAAGCACTGGAGTTCTAGTGAGAAGTAGTGACCAGTGGAGTTCAACCAGGTCTGTTGTGGGATAGAAACTCACTGAAGACAATGGTGGATGTGTCGCTCAATTTCGTGGATTAGTTGAAGTTAGACATTAACACCGTTGGATGCCGGCTCAGTGGTCTAGTGGTTAAGTGCTCGCGCGCGAAGTCAGTAGGTCCTGGGTTCGAATCTCGCAGGGGGCGAGGTCATGGATGCGCACTGCTGAGGAGTCCCATAATAGGACGAAACGGCCGTCCAGTGCTTCCAGGTTTTCCATGGTGGTCTAGCTTCAACTGACTCATGATCTTAATCAATGAAACAAAATTCTTTGGGTGGAATGCTGCGGTACCAGATATCAGCAGCGGTTTAACAGCTTCAAGCTCACCTTCCGTTAACCTACGCACCCATGAATTACCTTCGTACCTCAGGGAACTGAACTCGTGATTGTGATGCACATTCCCACGTACGACAGTCCAGTAGCCGTCTACAATCTTACAAAATATGGAAGCCGGACATTGGCTGTTCATGGAAGCGCTTCGTGAAACAAATTATAATAACATTAACCAAATTACCTTCTCCGTCTAATACGCCCGTTTCTCCAACACACAAATTTTATATAAGAATTTTGATCTCGACTAATATGCGAATCTCGCACAACATAATGACTGTAACTCGATCTTCCATAATTGATGATAGCGTTCTTCAACGCTTCAACCGATGGAAACGTAACCAGAAACAAGGTTGTTAAAAACACTTCATCCAGTTCCGTTACGTCAGAAACAACAGCGCTTGTACTTGGAAGGTTACTGTCCTCCATAATGACGATTAAAATTTACATCGTCTACAAGTACTGATAATTTATAACGCTTTTCAAGAAATAACTAACCAATTAAAACTGACCATTTCATAGGACGAAACAGGGGATGAAAAATATTGTAATTTTTTCGGGGGGAGAGGGGCAATTAAAAAAAATTGCCGGTCGGATAATTTTATTCCATTATACAGATGAACATGAATTAGATTAACAGGGTTAACATTAAATGCACGGGCATTCGAAAAAAATTTTCATCCCCATCTTACAATAATTTTCATTCTGTTCCATCCAATCAAATAACTAGTTCTAAGTTCGTCATAATTGGTCGTTTATTTCTTAAAATTGATATAAAATGTCAGGACATAACGACAGAGCACATTTCCTTCGAATTGCCGGCCGTAGTAAGGTGCAAAGCATAATGGCAGTATGTAGCTCTTTCATAAGTTCTAACAGCGCTCTTCAACGCTTCAAGTGATTGGGACGGTTTCTGTGACAACGTGAGAAACGACGTTATGTGAGCTTTTAATTTGGCGTAATCACCTATCGTTAACATGATTTTGGATGGGGTTTGGTTGTATGATTAGTAGAGAACTAAACTGTGATGTTGTACTATCAATGTTGGATGGTTGAACTGAGAAGCCATGGAATTTCTAAAATCATGAAGTTCACGTCAACCTGAATCTATACAGATTCAATTTATGGTTGTATATGGGAAACGCAAATTAATTACATGATAGGTCACTGAACCCAACAGTCCATAAGAGCGCAAATACACGAGATGCTAGCACAAGAGTGAAAAGAACGATTTGCGAGTCTAGTCGACGGAACAGACTAGTTTAGCGCTTCTCGAATGATC